GGCCGACCTCCAGCGTATGACAGGAAACCGCACCGACCCAGCGCTATCAGCAGCTCTAGTCCGCGACTCTCGCGCAGCCGTCGGCTGGCTAGCAGCCAACGGAGTCCGCTTCCAGCTCTCCTTCAATCGCCAAGCCTACGAAGTCAACGGCAGAATCAAGTTCTGGGGTGGCCTCGCGCTGAAAACCCAAGATGGCGGCAAAGGTCTTGTCGAGGATGAGCTGCGCGCTGTTAAGAACGCCGGTGTGGATGTGTTCTTCGACACAGCTGCCACGGCGCTAGTAACTGATCAGACCACTGGCGCTGTTATCGGCGTGGAAGTTGTCAACACCGACAGTGCTGGCGTACACAAGAAAACCACCATCGCTGCCGGCGCAGTCATTCTCGCAGCAGGCGGTTTCGAGGCAAACCCCCAGTTGCGTGCGCAGTGGCTCGGTCCTGGATGGGATAGTGCGCGTGTGCGCGGGACACCGTATAACACCGGTGACATGCTGCAGATTGCGCAGCGGGATGTGTCGGCCAAGACGGCGGGGAACTGGAGTGGGTGTCATAGTGTGGCGTGGGATGCGGATGCGCCTGCTGATTCAGGGAACCGGGAGGTTTCGAATGAGTTTACGAAGAGTGGGTATCCGCTAGGGATTATGGTTAATCGGGATGGGGAGCGGTTTGTTGATGAAGGGTTTGATATGCGGAATTATACGTATGCGATGATTGGGCGGCGGGTGCTTCAGCAGCCTGGGCAGGTTGCGTTCCAGGTTTGGGATGCGCGGACTGTGGCGTGGTTGCGTGAGGAGGAGTATCGGGGTGAGGTTGTTCGCCGGATTGAGGGAGAGTCGTTGGAGGAACTTGCGGAGAAGTGTACGGAGGTTGGACTTGTTGATCCTGGGCGGTTTATGGAGAGTGTTCGGGAGTATAATGCTTCTGTTGAGGATGGGGATGGGCAGAAGAGGTGGGATCCTGCTGTTAAGGATGGGCTTGCTACTAAGGGGCTGGCTGTTGCCAAGTCGAATTGGGCTTTGCCTATTGACAAGCCGCCTTTCCTGGCCGTCAAGGTCACGGCGGGGATCACGTTCACTTTTGGTGGATTGGCTGTGAATCCTACAACCGCGGCGGTCATTTCGGAGACGACGAGTGATGAGGTTCATGGATTGTATTGTGTGGGTGAGATGCTTGGAGGCGTCTTCTACGATAACTACCCTGGTGGAAGTGGATTGACTTCTGGGACTGTCTTTGGGCGTCGTGCTGGTCGAGCAGCAGCGGAGCGAGCTGGGAAGAGCGGAAGACTAGAACGGTTGTGACGTATCAAGAGACTATGTGTATAGGGAAGATACATGGAACTACAGAGAAGTATAAAAAGTTGTTCGGAATGTCTTTTATTGATTAGACAATATATCTAGTAGCGACTGTGTGAAACTCGAACTAGGCCAAGCCCAGCCAGTATCAAAACAATAGGAACAATGCCTTCCCATGGGTATCATCACCAACACCAACCCAAATTTGCACGTTCTTGATGGAAAAAGGCGACTGGGGGAAAAGACAACAATGAAGATGCTTTCAGCGATGCAGAATGCAGGCCATGGAAGATTAAGAAGCGAAAAAAAGAAGTCAGGGTATTGCCTTCAGAGAAAATAAAAAACATCGAATCATCACAAGCCCCATGGTATCGAGAAAAAGCAGAAAGGTGACGCCCAGGTCTAGCGAAAGAATAAGAAATGAAATGAAAGCAACGCATCCAGCCGGAAACCTCTATGGTCGTAACGTGGGTGAAACAAAGTATGGAAATATGAAAAGAAAAGAAGAAGAAAAGAAAAGGCTCTCTCTTGCCTGTGGCCCTCGAACAGAACCCATTATACCCATAAATCACAGACCGTTTTGGAAGGAGTATGGTATGTATGAGTGTTTCTCTCTCCGATTATGAAATGTTTCTCGGGAGGATATAGAAAAAGGTGATAAAAAGGTGATCCATGCTGTTGTACAAGGAGAGCCTGAGCCGTTGATATAAAACATGCCAACGCAGTTGGTTCATGAATTGGCTCGTGGCATAGGGAGAACGAGGTTGTGGCGGGTGGAAGATCTGGCACTTTGTGCGCCAAGGGCGTAGGGGAAAGAGAGAGAGAGGGACTCGACGGGATTTCCGCGAGTAGAAGAATGTAGTCGTATGAAATGAGATTGGCAGATTACTCGTCGTCATCGCCAGAGCCGGTGTCCTTCTCGCCCTTGTGGACCTTCTTGTGCCGACGCAGGTTCGAGACAACGGAGAAGTGCCGCCCGCAGCCTTCAACATCACACGCGAATGCTGGAAAATGTTAGATGAATTTCAAAAAAGATTTGCCTTGCAGGAACAGCACTTACGCTTTTCACCAGTGTGGCTGTACATATGAGTCTGCAGGGAAGACGGACGCGTGAACCGCTTGTCGCAGACCTTGCACTTGTGCTTTTTCTGGGTGTTGGAGGGCATCTTGGAGCTGAATTGGCTCATCATTGATTGCGGGCCAGGGGGAGCACTGCCGGCCAAAAGGCTGGTCGGCCGGGGGAGAGTGCGTGATTCGTATGACTCGGAAGTTGTGGAGCTGTAGTCTGTCACGGAGGAGTCGACAGAGCCCACCGAGGCGCTGTAGTAGGGGTAGTTGCCGCCGGAGGAGATGGATGAGGCGGAAGATTGGGTGGAAGGGAAACCGTAGGAATCGGCTGAGCCTCGCGCGCCGCGAGGACCAGGGCCGTAGATGTTGCGAGGGGTCAGGTCCTGGCTGAGAGCGACCATTCCGCGGCTGGCGTCGAGCGCATCACCGAAAGTGGGGGCGGAAGCTGAAGCGCTAACCCGAGCGGCATCTCTGTGAATTTGTGTAAGTTTCTTTTTGCGATTCCGATGTAAACAATGCGGACTCGGAATTTAAAACTTACGAGTGCGAGATCCGACGAGTGTCTTGTGGAGAGGGGTGAATGGGGGCGTAGGCATAGCTGGAAGGCGCGAAGTTGCTCATTGGGGGAGCGGTGGTGTAGGAGGGAGCCTGGTCGAAAGTTGTGCGCGGCACCTCGTGTTGCATTCCCATTACCTCTGGGCCATAGCTGGCGGTCGCGTAGGAGGTACCAGCCACCATTGACGGGGCGGACACAGGAATGTTGGGGTATGGCATAGACATGCCGGTGCGGTTCACTTCCTCTTGCTTGACCTGAGCGAGGGCCATGCTGGCGCCATTGCCCATGGAAGTCGCATAGACTGGGGGTGTCGAGTGCGAGGAAGTGTGTGCCCACGGGTCTGTGAATTGTGGTGGAGTGTGGTGATAGACATTGTCGAAGCTCATGCCGCCATAGGGGCGGTTCTGGTTTTCCATAACCATCGTCATGGGGGATATAGAGTCGCGAATGGATCGCGTGTAGAAACTGTGTAGAAAGAGTGAAGATCGAGTCCAAAGGGTTTTGGAAGAGATCGTCTGTGTTGATCCGGAGTATTAAGAGAAAATAGACCCGATGATCAATTATATAAGGAGAAAAAAAGAGAAAGCAGTCTGGGGAAGGGGATCGGCGAAGCTTATGAAGGAATATAAGGTGTGAGGCATGATCCCATATACTCCAAAGTGCCACTGACGACGTCCCGTCGGGGATTGCAGATCGCTGGAAATTATAATACCGGTATTTATTTTTATTTATTTTTATATTTTATTTTATTTTGGAGTTTTGGATTTCACATTTTAAAGATTTTTCATTTTTCATTTTCATTTTCAATTATTTCATTTTATTTTATTTTATTTTTCTTTTCTCATTGGATATCAAAAAGTGGTCCTCAACGGGAACCAGTTCCTCGGATGTGAATATTACTCTTTATATTTACCAGAAGCATACTAGCAAATCCATTTTACCCTTTTTTTTCAGGGTCTAAAATATATTAATTGCTTAAGCATCAACTAGGCTGAGGAATGGAAGATCTAAAGAATCTGTATCTAAGTATTTAAATAAGAATGTGGAAATTACTCTCCGGCATCGGAACGGCAATTATAATGAACCCATAAAAGGTAGTGAAGAGAACAGAAATGATTCTTCACAATATATAAGGGGAAGAAAAAGGAGAAAAATCATGAGACCCAAAAAGCAGTCGGTGACCTCAGAATCAAAGGGGGTGTAGAACTAGGGGAATGTTCAATTGTAGACTAGTTGTGATGAACGCTGAGTGGTCCAACTGTGTGCCGTGTCTAAGAAAGGAAATAAATAGAAAAAAAAGAAATAGAAATTGCCAAGAAATAAACTCACCAAGGTTCGCCCTGAAGCTGTTTCAATGTAGCGGGGCAGATCCCAGTGTCAATGGGTATACCCGTTGCCGTGGGGGTTAATATGAGTGATTATAGTGATAGTTCTTGAGTAGATTAGACTTGAACCGAGTCTACTAAAAAAAACATTCCAATTCAAAATAATTAAACCAGGGACATACTGGAGTCTCGCATTATTGGCAAGCTGCAGGATCATAGGGAAATTATAATTGTTAAGAAAATAAATAAAAATGGCTTAAGCCATGGAGGGGCCTTTGACACGGCACAGAGAGGGTTTAGCGCGTCAACCCGACCTTACATAGAGAGAAGGGGAGCATCGAATCACTAGCCGCCAACATTATTGACTGCATTCTAATTCCATTCGAACAGGGAATTCACCAAAAATGCGATGACGTTTGACATCCAAAGTCGAGGATTTCCCGTTTCAGAAATTAGACCGAATATACATAGTAACGGAAGTAGAGTTACTCCATCGACATGTGGAGGATGTACCTTCGATGGAACACACTCCACACGGGACAAGGAAAAACCACACTCTATATACGGAGGTTTTCCGGCCTTTTTCCCTCGGTCGCATAACCACAAACGCACAGAAAATACGAGTGTGCAATGAGGTCGCGCCCAGCGGAAGCACAAAAAAACGCCTCCTGCACGAAGAAGGAATAAGTTTGAATTCCAACGCTGCCATTAACCGGGCCATGCGAGCTGTATCACATAAAAATTACCCTTAAGTCCACGCCTAAGGCACCCGGACCAAAAGCGGGATCATAACATCCTCGTATGGGGCCTGGGATAAGAGAGCCACGGGCTGCAAGCCATGTTTTTTCTCCTCTGGGATTGGGGACAGCCGGATATCGACGTCAGAGGGGCGGAACAGTGCTACCACCATGGGGGTGGGTGGGAAAAAGGCCGCTTTGGATAGATTGGTGGGCGCGGCTCCCGCAATAGCGCGGTAGAGTGGATGGCCTGAATCGGATATATCACAACCCATTGACCTTTTTTTATTTTTTACTCTCCTTGATAGATTTGAGATTATTCCTGTACCTCGTGCTGTGGAACCGGACGTTTGCTCTTCCATTCGAACAAATTTGGCATTCAATAGTGTACGAATATGCAATAAATAAATTTCCGATATGGATTCGCTATGGTCCCCGAGTCTCGGGGATTGATGTCACCCCCGGAGGTCGCTCTATATTGTAACGGGTACTCCGTACTCCCTGCTGCGTACAGGGTTGATCACAAGGTACGAGAGGGGGCAGATCGTCGAGCAAGAGCCGAGGAAGAGGCTGAAGAAAAGTTACATAACCTTGAGTTCATCCAATCACATACACTGTATACAAGCCTCCATCGATGATTGGCGTTTAGTCCGGGCCGGGGAGAAAACAAAGGTATAGCGTAAGAAGTATGATGTCCACAGGTAACACTCCCTTAATCCGTAAAAGCATTCAAGAATCAGGACCGGACGAGAGGACACATATAAATTCCAAGGTTCAACCATGATTTCACGGAGATCTACCTAACCGAGTAGCTTGAGACCATGGAAGACAAACCAAAGCCAAAAGGGCCATTTCCAACATTGGAAGTTTCTCCTGGCTTCTCCGCATTTTACTAAACGCCACGGGGTCCTTGGGTGCGCGGTTTTCTAGAACTCAACCTTGGAACCAAACTAACAATTAAGCAACTTGTGGGCCATGGACGAACATCGGCGGTTCGGTCTTCATTCGCGCACCTTGTGAAGATTCCAAGGTTCGGCCGAATGCAGTAGAGCCATTGTATGGGAGTTAACCATGAAGTGTGCCTCGAGGACAACCATGGGTCTCGGGTTACCGGATTAAGATTGGAGTAGCGATTAGGTTTCTATCAAATTACTCACTTTATCCAAACATTCTATCTTTATTTTTGATTTAAATATCAACCTCGGAACGATATTGTTTGGTTTTATTGTAAGAGCCAAAGTTACCTGAAGCTATAAATGGATCTATTATTGTATAAACCTACTCCGTATGGACGTATCAGTTTAGTTATTAGGTTTATCCCCTATACATTCTCAACTATCAAGACCAAGACGAAAAAAAGTCTCAGTAGTCCGGGTCTCCCGAGTCTCGCCAGAGTCCCGACCGTGTCTAGACGGCCGGGGTGGACATTCCCCAAAAAGCAAAACACAAAGCACTTGGGCAGTCAGTCGGGTACCCAAGTCCACACTGCACAAAGGGGCAAAAAACCCAGGGACGGAGTACAGGCTCAGGAAACCTTGAGCTTCAAGTTGCCCCATTTTGAAAAGGCCCATATGGAGCCCTTGAAATTAAGAGGCGCGAACTTCAGCCAAACCCCAACCCCAAAATCCAATAAAAGAAAAACAAGCAATGCAACAAATGGACTCTAGTCTGAGGGGAAACCCCCTTTTTTTTGCCATGCCGTGTTGGTGGACTTGGCATCTTACCGGCAGAACTCCGTCGCTTTCAACGAACGCCAGCAGTGTTGGCAAATGTGGCGTTTTCATGCTGATTTTTGAGTGCATAGTGAAGTGCGAGGGGATGTGAGATCAAAAGTGTGGACGCCAAGATGTTTGTGTGTTGTGTAGATTTGTGGTTTGGTTCATCCCTATTCGTATAGTACATTGGCACATTGGCATGGCGTTCAGTAGTTCAAAAATATGTGCTTTTTGAGGAAGGTATACCTTGGCCACAATATTGAGTCGGAGCGTGCCGGATGGACAGATCCTGAAACTGGAGTCAAATTGTCAAAAAGTGTATCTCGCGAGTAGTCTATAGGTTATACAGGTCCACCAGAGGAGAAGGCCCCTGCTAGACACGGGAGGGGTGGAGCATATTTCATGTTGTGAGGGACCTCTTTTAAAGCCCTATCTTCTGGGCCTTGACGGCCCTGACCGCTTTTCTTGCTCCCAAGCAGGAAGCATACTCCGTGACACGGCTCATATTAATGACGCGTCCTCTGGGACCCTGAGATGTTTTTTTTTATCAGTTTGTCATTTCACCGTTCACGGATTATTCCGTCAGGAATAATCGGTTTTCCGAGAAACCCGCTGGAAATTTCAGAACAAAAGAAAAGGGCGGTCAGAGATTTATGACAGTTCAACACGGAGAAATAAGCCCCAGACATTTTCTTTACAATAATTATCACCTGGCTGAAATGAAAATCCCTCCCCAAACGCTGTAATCAGATCCTTATCTTGCACGTTGACGATCCGCCTCAATGCCGAGTGTCAATCAGGTACCCTTGACCAACAAAGGCCTGTCATCTGCATGGGGCTCCGATCTTGGCAGTTCCCACACGGCAGATCGTCATTGCCCCTAAATCAAGGTTGACATTGTGTGCAAATCACCGTTTTCTTTTTGTCTCATGTTAGATATGCCATTCTCTAGTGGCAATGTCAAAAACTCGAAGTCAATGCACTGTATTTTGGTGGACATTAGCTGCCATACCGTCACTGCAGAAATCGCACCTGGTTACTATACATAGAACAGCTGAAACGTTCAACCGTTCTTTTACGTTCACAGCGTTGCATCCACACAGTGGACCTACGGACTCTCAAATTTGCCATAGACCATGGCAGGTCCAGGAATCCGGTTAAATTGGATAAAACCCAGGTTCCTGGAATCCACAGTTCCAAAAAAAAAAAAAAAAAAAAAGTGTGTGTATTGAATGCCGATTCTCCCGATACCGGACCCCTTTAGGTTTATTTCTATAGTTTTGGACTAGTACTGATTAGTCCAACCAAATATAGACTAGCCTGGCTTAATTCCATTGGGTCCACATTCTTACATGTTTGTTGCAGAGCCTTTCGATCAATCATAGAGGATTATTTGCAAGCCAGGTCCACCTGGAGACGGCAGATAGTCGATAGCCGATCTTGGCAGTTATTGATCGACCAATTGTATCCGTGGACCCACCAGGAGCTGACGCGTGCTCATCCCGCGCATTTGGGGTCAACGTGGTTATCTGCTTGGTATACAAAGTAGGAAGGTTAACCTTGGAGAAATATCTCGGACCCTTTCTCTCAGCATATCCTTCTTTCAAGGGTCCAAATTGTTTATTCTTTTATGTAAATTATATCTACAGATTTTGGCAGACACATCCCTCAAATCTTTAAAGTCAAATGACGTGACCATCCCACAACAGCCTCCCCGCAAAGCCCATTTTGGTTTGGTCTAAGTTTGTGATCCCTGCGTGCGATCCTGGCTTACTCCACATTTACCGCTAGGAACACTGCCACTCCCAGGGTCAACGCTAACAACCTGAAACGCCCGTGAGTGGATTATGAATTATACAAAAAAGAAAATTTCCTTTTTTTTTTCTGTTCGAGAGACCTAATATTAGCAGAATAGTTAATCGAATTCATGCATAATCTACTCCGTAAATCGCACCGAGTAATTCAACTTTTTAACGGTACTCATTTTGCGATTCATAGGTAGCGGGCCAAGGAAGAAATCGGAAACCGGAGTACTTCGGGCATGACTAAGGAACGCCTCTTTTTCCTGGAAGGTCTGAAGAATATACTTTTTTGCCTTAACAGGCGATTAACTCGACTGTTTGATCGGATCCTCCCGCCACCAAAAAGAAAGTTTGGTCCAATCTGCGGTTCACGAGTTCCCCATGTCACGCTATTGGATATATACAAACTGCGGTGTGTGCTGTAAAAGCCCTTGAAATCAAAATTACTTGAAATGTATTCCGTATAGCAAAACAATCAAGCTTCCCCTTGTCTAAGGTACAATATACATAAAAGACGCACTTGCAGAAAGTGGAGTGTATTCTTGGCCTATGTCACCAGACATAGTGAACGGAAATGCAGAGGGCATTTGAGGGGCCATATTAGCCTAAGCCTTAGTGCGTATAGTCTGTGAGGTCTGTGAGGCCAAAGAGTAACGCGCCAGAGGCGCTCCACAAAGTGTGTAGGACGCCCCTCGCTGTGTGCCTCAACCGTCGTGAATGGGGCGCCATGCAGGGTTCTCCGATCCCTTGCAACGGATTCAGAAAAGACAAAAAACAAATTACTTCCTGTGAGAACAGAAATATTGTCTTACCTACGATGTAGGTGGTTTTCTTTTGGGTTGGTTCTGCCTAGAACAGGGGAAAAGACACAAAAAGAGCATTGATAACGTTCCCAGCATTGAGCTTCCAATCATTCAATACGCAAGTCTTCTCCCATCCGAAATCCTTGATCCCTACAGTGCGCAAGTTCAACGTTTATACTGATTGGATCATAGCTATTTATCCACATAACCTTCTTATTCTCCAGTACTCCGTACTCCTTCACATGAATCCGAGGAATCTCGGTATCTCGCATGCTTGACAGCTACCTTGTACTTTAGTACATGCAAACACAGACGCACGGTCCTTGGGGGGTTTGATGCGCGACACGCGATCTTCTCCACTATACGATATACCTACACTGTACTACATATCATATATGCCTTGAGATATACAATATACACTTTACACTTTTCCGGTGGGGTCGTTCCCTGCATGTGTTACCACGATCTGAGGAGCTATGAAGCTCAATTTAGACCCATGGTCCTAGTGATTTCTACCTAAATTTGAGAGATTATGGATATGTAGACTTATAGCAGGTTAATATAATAATAGAATAAGACCTAAAGCGGATAGTTAGACCCTGAAAGAAAAAAAAAAGGAATTCGGAACAAAGGAACTACAAACCATGGAAAGGGTCAAAAAGGGGCGTTACACAACCCCCCTTATCAGGGTCTGTGTGTTTTCTGATGTTTATAGGGTAATCCGAGTACTCCGTACAATGTATGTTGTACGTTATCCCAAGGAAATGAGATATCCTCCATTCCCCGGTAGTTCAGCATTGTGATTGGGGATGAATTCAGGGGGAGGCTGTGTAGCTTGAATACATACTCCCCGATTAGGTTCTTTATATCTGTATATTTAAGGATTAGTATACGGAGTAGGTACTCGGTACTTTATAATTTAGAAAGATATATATATATATATATACTGTCATAG